GCTCTCCCCAAGTTGTGTGCTTCCTTCGAAATACTCTACCTCTGGAAGGCTCCATAACCTTCCCAAACAGCACCACTGTCTGGGGACCAAGTGTCCAAACACATGAGCCTACTGTGGACATTTCCTACTCCAACCACAAAAGAAGGAGAAGGAGAGCAAGGAGGAGGGAGTGTAGGCTACCTCTTAGGAGCACAGCCTTTCATGTCATGAAGGTGGGCTCCTTCTGCTACACATTAGGCACCTCTTATCGTCCCCATGGCTCATACCCAACGTAGCCTGGGACTGTTCAGAAGGAGACTGACTTGTGAGGGGATAATGGAGAGGAAAGGAGGGCAAAAGGAAGGGAGGACCCTCACTTTCTGAGGTTAAGATTCCTCAGGATAAACCTAGAGGACTTCTCCTAGGATGTGTCTGTCTGTCCATGGGCACTCATTGCTGAAGTTTCCTGGAACTTGTCTGATTGTCCCTGTTCATTCATTGCTGTCTTGAATCAGCTGGCAAGAGAGAGTGAGGTTGGAGAGGATTTCAGATTCAGACCTTGGTTCCCATTCTACATAATTCTTCTCAGAAACCTCAGGTCCTTCCTCAGTGTGTCCTCTCTATTCTGTGTTTGCTATTGAGTGGGAAGACCACATCCACAGAGCAGCCACCCAATTTCAATTCCCTGTCTCCCTGTCCTCCGACATCATGGATCTCTTCTGCCTGTGGATTTTTTCCTCTTTCTTCTTAAGGTTTACAGAGATATGTCTGACCTAATCTAAAGAGCCCATTTCAAGTATAATTCAATATGAAATTTTCTATTTATTTATCTGGCTAAACCCATTTACTTTTTAATAATTTGGAAAAAAAAGCTCTTGTAGATCCTTTTTTAAATAAGGAAATTTTTTTTAAAAAATAAGGAAAACTATGCCTGATTTTTCCTCCTTAACGATCAATTAAACTATATTTTTGGCAGAAAATAGGAACCATAACATTTGCGCATTTTTGTAGCTTTGTTTCTTATAAACTGCAGTGGAATTTGGTTTATTTCCTATACATGCTTTTTCAGAACTGTGATTCTAAGTTCTGTGTGTTATGTTCTTGCTCAGAATCTGTGATTTATGTTTAATTTTCCCATTGTCATACATTATAGTGTTTATTTATTTATCTCTCATAAACAATATTGTGGTTAATTAATACCTACATACAAATTAGTCTCGCTCCTTTCGTTCTTTCTGTCTGTCTTTCCTTCCTATGGTACCAAGAGTTGAACCCACGGACTGGGCGTGAGAGGCAAGCACTTCACCACTCAGCTACATCTATTGGGAGAGTGCTTGCCTTATTCTAATGCACAAAGCCTAGATTTGATTCCCCAGCACTATAGAAACCAAGCCTGGTGGTGCACAGCTGGGTTCTAAGCCCTCAGGAGGTGGATGCAGAAAGACCCAGAGTTCAGAATCATCCTTGTCTACATAGCTAGTTCAAGGCTAGTCCAGGATATGTGAGACTGCGTCTCAAAATAACAACAACGACAAAAAAGCAAACACCCGAAAGAGATCTTCCCGGGGTAATTTTCCAGGTGAAAGGGTTACAATAGCACCGCACCCCGAGACTGCAGGCTCGGATGGCTCCTCAGCAAACATCCTTGTTTTTGTTTTTATTTTAGAAAAAGTAAAAAGAAACTTTCACTACAAAACACATAAAATATACATCAAGAGTTGGTTGCTGAAGCTCTTGTCCTTCAGTAAAGTTTCACGGAACTCCCAGTACCCTGTCAAGGGCTAGGAGTTAAGAGATTTTACAGTGGTGTAAAAATAAAACTAGAAAGAGACAGTGTAACCTGTCAATAATGCGGAACTTAGTTTAATTTTGGCCATTTTCATTGAAAGTTCATCCATCAATCCTCATCTCTGTCAAAGGACCATATAAACCAGTTTTCTGGATGTATCTCTTTCTGTTTCTGGCCTCTGTATAATCAAGTAAATACAAATACCTCTCTGTCTGTCCCCTGCTAGTGCATTCTGTTTTTGTTTTTTTTTTTAATTTGGATAACAAATGATATGGTCACTCTAATAAATCCTCCTTGGATGGTGAGAGAAGCACATTGGTCAGGAACTAATCACCCATGTGTGTTTGGCAGGGGGACTGCTAATACTGCATCTTGGAGTGGTGCTAGATATCAAAAGAGATTAGGCTTTCTTTCTTTGCTCCAAGCTTTGGGCTCAGAGTCCTCTTCCATGCAATCTATCTAACTACCATTCCCACACAGTCCTTACTACCATCCCTACACAGTCCTTCTTATTATCATCCCCACACAGTTCTTACTACCATCCCCGTATCGTCCATCAACTACCATGCCCATGCATTCTATCTTACTACCGTCTGATTAGGCTGGATCATTAAGCCCTGTCTGTTATCTCAGTGTCTCAGGAGGCTGAGGTAGAAGAATCACAAGTGGAAGGCCTGCTTGGGTGATGGAATGTGTTCAAGGCTAGGCTGGACTACTTGATAACATCAAAATAGCAAATGAAGAGAGGGCTGAGTATAATTTAGAGGGGAAGCCCTTGCTTAGGTTACGTGAAATACTGAGTTCAGACCTCAGTACCACATAAACAAAAATAATAATGAGAGAACCAGATAATTCCAGGGCATGCAGATAATATTGCCAGCACTTAACATTGGGGGAGATGCTGCATTGGTTATTGTCTTATCACACCCAACCAAATATAGCTTTAAGAGAAGATCGTGTGCACCTGTTAAACAGGACTACAAGTGTATATGCACAAGGAAGGAAGCCCCATGCTTTTTAGACTGCCTCCCATCCTCTCTTGTACCTCTGCACCATTCCCTTAAAGGTAATTCACACCCTGTTACCTACTTCTGGATTGTACAATGTAGAATGGTAGTAAACAGTCTACTGCCTGAATCTAGAGAAAAGGTAGTTACTACTGTGAATTCTGGGTCTTTGTTGAGCCCAGCCATCAAAAGTAACTATTTCTTTCTGGTTTCCCCCCTCTTCTTTTCCTGTGCACATGTACATGTGATATGTTTAGATGTGCTTGAGTGTGCATACTTGTGTACATCAATGCACATGTGTGCTTATGTGTTCACATATGTCTGGGCATACCTGTGTGTGGAGATGTATGTGTATGTGTCTGTGGAGCCCCAAGGTTGATGTCCAGAATCTTTGTCAATCTTCCACCTTATTCACTTTTAAAAATTTATTATATTGGGCGATCCCTGTGTCTTTCTTAGGGTCCTGTTTTCTAGGTAGCCTCCCTGAAGTTGTGATTAGGAGTCTAGTTATCTTTGTTTTACATCTAGTATCCTCCTATGAGTGAGTACATACCATGTTTGTCTTTCTGAGTCTGGGTTACCTCATTCAGGATGATTTTTTCTAGATCCATCCATTTGCCTATAAACCTCATGATGTCATTGTTTTTCTCTGCTGAGTAGAACTCCATTGTGTATATGTACCACATTTTATTTATCCATTCTTCAATTGAAGGGCATCTAGATTGTTTCCAGGTTCTGGCTATTACAAACAATGCTGATATGAACATAGCTGAGCAAGTGCCCTTGTGGTATGATTGAGCATTCCTTGGGTATATGCCCAAGAGTGGTATAGCTGGGTCTTGGGGGAGATTGATTCCCAATTTTCTAAGAAAGCGCCATATTGATTTCCAAAGTGGCTGGGCAAGCTTGCATTCCCACCAGCAGTGGAGGAGAGTTCCCCTTGCTCCACATCCTTTCCAGCATAAGCTGTCCTCAGTGTTTTTGATCTTAGCCGTTCTGACAGGTGTAAGGTGGTATCTCAGAGTCATTTTGATTTGCATTTCCCTGATGATTCAGGATGTTGAGCAATTCCAAGACACAGAGATCGCCCAGTGACAGAGAAATGGATGAGATCTACATGAACAACCTGGACGTGAGTGGGGGTAATGAAGGGCAAGTTTCGAGGGAAAGAGCGCTTAGGGGAGTGGGAGATCCCAGCTGGATCAAGAACAGAGAGGGAGAACAAGGAATAAGAGACCATGATAAATGAAGACCACATGAGAATAGGAAGAAGCAAAGTGCTAGAGAGGCCCACAGAAATCCACAAAGATACCTCCACAATAGACTACTGGCAATGATCGAGAGACAGCCTGAGCTGACTTACTCTGGTGATAGGGTGGCCAAACACCCTAACTGTCGTGCTAGAAATCTCATCCAATGACTGAGGGAAGCGGATGCAAAGATCCATGGCCAGGCCCCAGGTGGAGCTCCAGGAGTCCAATTGGTGAGAAAGAGGAGGGATTGTATGAGTGAGAATTGTTGAGACCAAGGTTGGATAAAGCACAGGGACAAATAGCCAAACGAATGGAAACACATGAACTATGAACCAATGGCTGAGGAGCCCCCAACTGGATCAGGCCCTCTGAATAAGTGAGACAGTTAATTAGCTTGAACTGTTTGGGAGGCATCCAGGCACTGGGACCGGGACCTGTCCTCAGTGCATGTGCTGGCTGTTTGGAACCTGGGGCTTATGCAGGGACACTTTGCTCAGCCTGGGAGGAGGGGACTGGACCTGCCTGGACTGAATCTACCAAGTTGAGCTGAATCCCCAGGGTAGTCTTTGCCCTGGAGGAGATGGGAATGGGGCGTGGGTTGGGGGGAGGACAGGGGAATCCATGGCTGATATGTAAAATTAAATTAAATTATAAAATAATAAATAAATAAATAATTTATTATATTGTATAATTTATTGTGTGTGCAATACACATATGCATATGAAGGCATGCTATGACACACCTGTAGGTCACTTGTCAGAGTTGCTCTTCTGATCTCACCATGTGGCTTCGGGGATTGAGTTCCAGTCCTGAGGCTCAAAGGCAAGTGACTTTATTCACTGAGCCATCTCACCTCAACACACGCAGCCAGCATTTATGTGGGTTGCAGGGATCCTGCAGCCACTCCCCAGCCTCCACGCTTTTTATGCTGTAGAACCTTCTGACAGTCTCCACTTTTTCTCTTTTCTGCAGGTTTTGAGGCAACAGATGAATTGTGAAAGAGAGCAGCTGAGGGTAGGTACAACCTGCTTGTAGCAGGCTTCCTGCTTCCTATTTCTGTGTGATAAGCAAAAATGCCCTTGTCTCTTTCAAGACCTAGAGTCTAAATAACAGACTTCATCTCAAGACTGGTAGAGCTGGCAATATTTATCCCAGCTAATTTCATATTGATTGAGCTGGTAAATACAGTAGATCTTCTTTTGAAGTGCCATTATAGTATATATGGATTTTTTGATTTAGAATCGGCGATAAATACTTCTCTTGTGGAATTTGTTTGACATCATTGGACTTCTTTTATGTACAACATGAGGTCTAAGTGATCACAAAGGTCACGAGGACTCTTTGCTGCCTTCCTCATGTGAGTTCACAGCTGTTTGCTGAGTAACTAAAATACACTTTTGCTAAGGACTGGGGTTAGTGAGCAACACCTGTATCAAGGCTATTTTTTTTAAAGGAGAATTTGAATTATCCATACACTTTGGATCTTGGTGTCATTTGGATACAAGGGAGATGAAGCCAGAATATTAAACTTTGTAGTTTATTCTGTTACTTAACAGTGACTTTCCACTTTCAAGTGTATCAGTTGCATGAGAGTTTTTTTTTTGGGAAAGGAGAGTTTTTTTTTCTCAGTGGTACCATTCTGTCTTCACTGTGTCTTCGTTGGACATCCTTATTTGCATGGGCTTTTGTGGAATTTATGAAATACCTGGATTCCTTGCCTCTGTGCTCCGTTCGTTTTTGAAGCATGCTCATATTTCGGAACAGAGTTTAAGGTTAGAACTGAGCACTCTTTGACATCGCTGCTGGGGACCCGTCGTTCTCACGGGGCCATGTGACTTAACTTTGTGTTTTCAGATTGCTGTGAAAACTAATGGAATCTGCGGCGTTTCCAAACATAGCAGTGTTTGAGGTGGAGGCCTGGGGACTATGGTACTCCAAAGTGTTTGAGTAAATAATGCAGTAAATGAACTCAATGCCTTTGTACACTGCTAGTTACATCTAAGGACATTTGCTGAGCTGTAAGATCCAGGTGACCAGGACAACTAGCATTCTTTCTGTCTTCTGGTTCCATTTGTCGTCTGGTTTGTTAAATCTTATCAAACAAACAATGTATCTGCCTGTATGAAACGAGATGGTGACCAGAGCTTTCTTTTCTTGTTATGCTTATATGTTTTATATAATGTCCCACCCAGGCCTCTATTAATGTTTCATCTCAGTCCACATTTTTTCTAACATTAGTGCAATTCCTGCATGAGACAGGCACCAAACATTTATTGGCTGGGGATGTAGTTCACTGGTTGATCATTGACCTGGCATACATGAAGCCCTGCTTGACATAGACGTATGGTGTGGTAGCTCTCAGGAGGTAGAGGTGGGAAGATCAGAAATTCAAGGTCATCTTTGGCTACAAAGGGATACAAGCAAGTTTGAGGCTACCATGGGCCCACTGAGACACTGTCTCAAATTTTTTTAATGACTTTTGTTCTAAGCTTTACTGAACTCTGCTACTGCTTTCTCTCTGCAACCTGAATGAGTGGTTTATGCTAGTAAATAATGTATTGGAATTTTAGATTTTCCTCTCCTGTTTGGATGGGGAAGATGGCCAGAAGTAGGTCAGTGCTAGATAAGGAGCACTGGATGCGTATGTCTCCAGGAGGCTTTGACACAGTCCCCAGAATTCAGACAGCACTGAGCTCTCTATTGCAAATGAGAATATATACCCTTGGAGAATTACGGGTATAGAAGACAAAGAAGGGCTTGTCTGCAATTTGAGGGGTTGATGATTTGATGAGGGCATTGTCCATAGGGTGCAGTATAGAATCGAGGAGGGTGTTCTTTGTCAAACGGTAAAGCTAGGTACTCTATATGATGGATTATTTAGTTGTGACCCATGTGCAGCCCCAGGGACCCCCCTACACTCTCAGCCCACCTCTGCCATCACAAATAGCTGCTTTATTTGAAGTTATTGTTTGCACCCTGTTTCTAGAATTTTGAACTAATTTGTGTTTTAAGTCAATGAATAAATACCACTTTGCAATTAATAAAATGAACATTTATACCACTCAATTTTTGCACCAAAGAGAATGCAATGATGTTTTCTTTTTCCATTTGACTCAGGTATCCATTTCCCACAGGGAACCTCCTCCAGGTTATAACACAGTTAGATACCTCTTTGTCTCCCTTATGAGTATGAGGATGCATGCATGTCAAAGCCAGGAAACAACCTTGGCTTCCTTCCTCAGCTATCATATAGCTTGCTTTTTTTTATCACTGGCTTGATGCTTATCACAGGATGGCTGGCCAGCAAGTCCCAGGGATGCTCCTGGCTCTGTCTCCCAAGGACTAGGATTACAAATCTACCACCATACCCTGCTTTTTGAATCTGGATTCTGGGGATCAAACTCGGGCCCTAATGCCTGCGAGTCTTATGAATTAGGCTACCTTCTTTTGTTTTACGTTTTAAGTCAGCATCTCAGCTGGTGACTCAGGTTGGTCCAAACCCCCTGTGAACCCAAGGAGGCCTTGAACATTTGGCTGTCCTACTGCCTCTTCATCAGTGGTGCTGGAACTTACAGGCATGGGTCACCACACCCTGCTCTCAATTTTGACAGCTCAGTCTTCTGTGTGGTTATTTTCCCGTCTTGTCCATTTACACTATCTGCCCTTCTAACTGTTCTGGCTGGTGAATTCAGCATAGAGCTGCTGTGTCCCATCTCTTCTTTCCTCCTTCCTCTACCCCTCCTTCTTCTTCCTCTTCCTCCTCTTCATTCTTCCTCTTCTCCTTCCATTTCTTCCTCTTCCTGTTCTGCTTCTTCCTCTTCTTGTTCCTCCTCCTCTTCTTCTTCTCCCCCATTTCTCTTCTTCCCTATTTTTCTCCTCCCTCCTTTTTCCCTATTTCTCTCTTCCCTATTTTTCTTTACCCTCTTCCATCCTCCTCCTCTTCTTTCTCTTTTCTCTTTCCTTTTCCTCCTCCTCTCCCTCCCCCACTTTCCTTCCTTTTTAGTGGTCATGAAAATCAAGTTACTCTCTGCTTTTTTATAAACATTGCACCATCTAGGCCTCTGAATCAGTTTCACTCTGATCCTCTCAGATAATATAAGAAAACCCCTTGTGTTGAGGGGTTGGATATTATAGGGGAATGGAGACATTGGCTACCGAGTACAGTGAGACTTACCTTCTCAACATGCAGACAAGAGCTGAGCAAAGGATTCTGGGAAGTATGTGCCACACTAGACTTGTGGCATTGTATTTCTCAGCCTGTGAGATGCTCATCCTGTGGGATAACATTTTCAGAGAGCCAAACACCATGTCTTTCAGAAAGGGTGAAACATTTAGAGAAAAAGTTATTCTTTTTTCAATTCTCTCTCAATCCTTTTTACGTCAATGAGGAAGTCATAGTTTAAACTAAAAGAGATTCAACAAGGCTGTAACAGTTTCTAAGCTTTCTTTATAACAGAGAGGGAGTGTGCCTCAGGCTTTAAGCCTGCAGCAGCCTGAGCATCTATGCCAACTTCAAAAGCATTGTTTGCAAAATATAGCAGTCAAGAATTAGGGGCCTAGAGCTAGGCCCACTGAAATAATGTCTGAACTTAGCAAGGTTTGTGCAGTTGTGCATTTGTGCATAGTTTTAAAATACTCTGTACTTTCAGTTCCTTATATGATCTATTGGAGACAATAATTGTGCCTATTTTATGAGGTCTGCCTGTGCATATGTGTACACATGTGTTAGTTACTTTTCTATATGACCGAGTACTTGGCAGGAAGCAATTTAAGGAAGAATTTATTATGGCTGGTGGTTTGGGAGATATAGTTCATCCTGGTAGGCAAAGCATGGGGGTGAGCTTGTTCTGTGCCATGCTGTTACACTTAGGTGTATCAAAAAGCAGAGCTCTCCAGCACGGAGTGGAGCTGCCCCCCAATAGCTCTCGAGGCTCACCTCCATCAATCCATATCCTGGATCCAGGCTCAATTTATTAAAGGTTCTGTTTCCTCTGAGAACAGCATCAGCAGCTGGGGACCAAGGATATTGGTCCCTGAGCCTGTGGGAGACGTTTCCCAGCCTCTGTGTGCTCAAAGGTTAAACAATGAATGTGATGGGGTGTTTAGTAAAAGTATTGCATAGGAAACATTTTTAATTGTTGTTAAATTTCAGTAGTTCTGTGTTTTTTTTCTTCCATCAACATTATTTGCAGTTACTGATACTGGTTTTCTGTTTGCAGTGGCAATGCCAGGTTTCCTTGGCAAATGCATCCATTTAGATTAAAAATGAGTTGCTTTCAAGGTAAATATGAGCTACACAATGTTACTGATTGCCCAGAGTTATGACAAAACTGGTCGTAGTTGAATGCAAACGGCTGAAGTTTTCAAAACACGGAAATCAGGGTGCCAGCCTTCTTGAAAGATGTCGTATAGCCTATCTACATTATCAATATTTAATTTGCCAGTTCGAAGCAAGTTTCTCAGTTCTGCAAGATACAAGAGTGATGTGGCTTGCAGAAATGCAAATTGCTAATGATCTTCTTGGCTTAAACCCATTGCCTTCATCCAGGCATCAGAGAATGAATCTTCTAGACTGCCTGGAATTGAGCTATCAGAATGAGTTTCTCACCTCACCCTCCCTCTTTCAACATCCATGCATTCCTCAGTTATTCTTAGGGGAGCAGAGAAGGAACTATAAACCCCCATGACTCCTTCCAGATTTATATTTTCTTGACTGTAGTTTCTGAGTAGCTCATTGTGGGAAAGCCTGCCTCCATCCAGTTATTTATTCAGGAAATATTTTTGAGTGTGAACCAGATGCCAGTCACTGTCTGCATAGTGGAGATGTAATGCTGTAATAAAACGAATACATTTCTCATACTCTGATACCTTGCAGGCTAGTGGGAAAAGACATGCATTTGTCAAATAACTCCCTCCAAAGTCCCTGTGAAACTGGCAAATATCACATAAGTCCATGCTACACAGAGAGGCACAGATGGGAGACTCTTATCTTACTGGCCTCCACTTATGAAACT